ATGTGGATAAAACAGACCTAATATTCCCGTCAAATAAGACTTCTACATCTGCCAAAAATAACTAATTTTTAAAAACTCTATGCTCATTTGAAAAAAAAGCTTACATATGTACAGGTTGTATTCCCTCTTTGTGGCACTAATATAAAATAATTATTGGAATCAAGAGCATGCTATTGACAGGTGCCAGCTGTCTTTACCATGCTGATACCATTTTAACAAAAAGACTATTTTCTGACAGTCTGACAACAAGGAAGAAACTGTGACATAAAACAATGGAACCAGTTAAGATGAAAAGCCCTGGCAACAAAACTACCAAGACAGTAAGTTTCTCCAAAAGCAGCCTATGGGGCATGCAGGGCAACAGGGGGAAAGAGCATGCACGAAACCCACTCTTTGCTGGAAAGCAATCCAATGAATGACAAAAGGACATGCTGCCAAAAACTAAAAGGAATAATTGTAGAAACTTCCCCAGTATGCCAAACTGAGACGAACAAGAGCACAATTCAACTACCACAATATTAAAAAAAAAAAAAAATCACGAAATGAAATAAAAATGTATGTGTTAACAACAGTGGGGAAACAAACACTAAAGTGAAGACTGAGTCCATCAGTAACTTCCTTTAAGCTTGATTACCAAGAAGTTACCACTGGATTTCTGTCATTCATTTCAAGAGTGGCAAAGGCAAGCATGAAGGCCAACTTTTGTAGCTGTGCCTCCAGCAGGTTGATAGGAGTCAAGCAAGACTATCACTCTTCATGATGCCTGACTGCAAGGATTAGATTTTCTAATCATACCTCACATAATGTTAATTAGTTCGAAGCACATATATGTTTAGTCTTTAAAGTGACCTGCTCAGCAATACATGAGGCACAATTTTTTTTTTTCTTTTTCAAAACCAGAAAGATATCTTTTCTCTTCAAGGCTTGGTCTTGATATCTCAGAATACTATAGAGTATAGGATGCCAAAAAATCTAAAACAGTTATAGAACCAAACCAGCTCACAAGGAATAAAGCATGATATAGAATTTGTTTTCCACTGTATGATAGAGTCTTCATGTATAACTTTTTAGGTTATTTTCAGACTGGCACCACAAGAAAGTTAATTCTTTCACAGCCCAAATCTTTATATCCTGATGTTCATGGTATCTCCATGAAAGATGATTCTGATGTTATCCCTGACACTGCAGAATACTTCATTCAAGTATACCTCAATATACAATAAATTTGGTTCCTCACATTATGCCCTTGTGATTCCAGAAGAGAAGTACCTAGGCTTCTTAGTGGTTAGGACTGCTGACAGCATTAACATACTGCCTCTTCCCATGCTACTGGGCAAGAATGTAAAAAGCAAAGTGAGTGACATGTTTTCTATCAATTAAACATTCTTTTAACTGAAGACTCTGGAACAAATATTGATAACTGGTCATGGGATCTGCAGTCTCAGGTAACTGGGACTATTAATCTAACCATGCTTTTCTTGCCATATGTACCAACAGGAACCCCTCCTGCTTTGTTATTTCGTGGAGTCAGATGAGTCAGTTATTAACACTCAGAGATACTGAGCTTCATGTAGCAAGCCTTACTCTTTACAAAGATAAACTATGAGCATGTCTTTCCATGGTGACAAATAAAAGACAAAACACCTTGATATCAATATAACAAACACATCTCCAGAAGTTAGTATATTTACTTTCTTTCCCTCAAATTCAATGCATACTTATGGAAAATAAGAAAGATCAATTTGCAACTTGGTATCAGCTTAAGACAGTGTCAGAAATGATTGTTAGGTGACATTTTGGCAAAGACTCTTCTTGGCAAAATATAATACAGTGTGGAAGCCTAAAGAATTTTCTGTGTCTGCTTGTCCACGTGCTTTTAAATTTAAATTCAGGTGAAGTGATAACAGGAACATTTTGCAAGAGGCCCAATTGTAGGTTTCCCACTTCACGTCAAGACCAAAACTGAGTAAGAGAGAAATTCTGAACTGTGGGGAAGTACCTACCAGACCCCTGAGCATCTTGCATTCTGAAAAGAAAAAAAGTATTCAAGCACAATCACAGCAAGGCCATTTACTACTCAACAAAAATGCTTCAAGCATAGCTGATAGCAAGGCGTTCCAGCATGTTGGCCTGGGCCTTTGTCTTTTGAACATCAAGTGGTTTTAAACTTATATGTTATTTTATGTTTTTATCTTAAGATACAAACAAAAAAAGTATAAAGTCTACAATCTTTTCCTCCACCTTTTGCAGCAATAGCTTTAATGCTGTTGTTGAAGTCCTACAAGACTAAAGAAACAATTTCAAGACAGAAAGCTTGCCCAACTTTATTTCATAATTATTCTGAGGCAGCCAATAAAAGATGCTACAAATCAGCACAAACAGGAATTTAATTCTTTGTATCACATGCAAAAATCTCTTTTTGGCTAGAAATTAATTATTCAGAACAAAGCCTAAGAACAGGGCCTTAATCTGACCTCATATGATACAATCAAACTTATCATCACTGAAGTTGCTTCAATGTGCTTAATCAGCATTACTAATCTCATAAGAGCTACAAGCTGCAGACTCAACTTCTACAATGTTTAAGAGAAGAGCTTCAAAGGAGCTGCCAACATATGAAGTGTTCCAAGTCCTTCTTAAACATCCACAGGAAATAAAATGCTAGACAACAACTCCTTAGAAAACATTTATGGGCTCAAAAAATAATTTCTAGTGAAGGCAAAAGAACAGGTAAATTATGGGATTTTTGAGAACAGAGGGTAAACTGAGTGAGGTCCAAAAGGATTGCTGGCACTTAAATACAGGCATAAAAAAACCCCCTCAAGAAACACAGAAGAAGAGATCCACTAAGCTGAACAATAACCATAACAATAATTATATATTTAGCTTTTATTTACAGATTAGTGTTTTGGAATGGGTAAAAGGGGAGAAATGAAAGGTCCCGATAAAATATGAACTAATAGGTAGTTATATTAGTGTCTTTGAAGCACAGAACTAACCTCTTCCAAAAAAAACTCGCGTCATCTGCCTGGAGGAGTTGGGGGGTGATGAGGGAAGTCCTTACAAAAGGAAAAAATCTAAACTACATCAATGAAGTCTTAAAATATTTCTTAGAAAAACATATTTTTATGAAAATGGCTCACTAGATCACGTAAAATTTGTAAATTAAGGGCATCGTTTTAATGATACAAGACAATATAGTGAAATATACCTTGCCTGAATTTTTCTAGGACAAATCCTTCAACTGCTATAGCTATAAAACTCTCCTGAGACCAGGAAAGAGAGGATCATCATTCACAGACTAAAGAAACACTGAAAAGTACATTTCAGTGAGTAGTCCTGTATATCACAGCATGGGGAGAAGGACTAGATGTAGTCCTAAGTCTCTTTTGCTTAATATATACCAATCCTATATAGCTCATTAATTAATAACACTAAATACCAGATGCATGATTCCAAATCTCCCATATTCTCTAAATGACAATTGTTTCAAAGCAATACTACATACACACTTAGGTATTCCAAGTCAGTCTAAAAGATTTGGTTTGAAATTTACGCTCACTAAATTTTTTGACCACCTAATGCCGGAATAGAGATACAATCTTTGCCAGTACACCCAGAATTAAGCAAGCCAAAGAAAAAACATACTTTTCATTGGAGGAAAAGAGTAAGTTTCACAAGACAGTTACTTCAATCTACTTCCTGCCACACAGACAAAAAAAAGCAAGCTACGTGTCCACATATACACACAGAGGCACCTGTGTGTATAGACATAAATATGTGCACACACAGATTCTGTCTGGTGAAAAGTAAGCACCAGTAACCATGCTAATAAAAATCAGTAATTAATTAAACCATGATGTTTCCTCTCACATGTCTATCCCCCACTGAACATTACTTGTCAAGCGATGCATTCAATACCCTGGGATGGCTGCAGGTACGTCCACAGATAAGTTTTACTTTGTCAGCTCCTAATCTAGTAAGCCTTCCTTCAAAGCTATTTAAAATCAACACAATTCCTAAAGAACATGCAGGACAATTGCCAAATCCTTTCTCTAATAATTAACCACTTCCTAACTTGATGGCTACAGCTTAAAAAATATTTTGTTCTATTAGAGCATAAAGTGATGAGAACATCTCTCAAAAAACTTCCAGCTAGAAAACAAGAAATTTTAATTTTAGTCCTCTTGTTTTTTGCTTTTTCAGCCAGTCTCCTACACAAAACTACAAGCAAGCTAACAATGATTCAGAGATTTTCATGAAATTTAAGAGCCATATTTTAAACAGATCCATTGCAAAGTTAACACTAACTCATTGAGATAGTCAGAACTACAAAATAAATTTATAAATCTATTGAAGTATATGATAATAACTATGTCATTATGCAAAAGAAAGTAAATCATGACTCAACACCTGCATCTTCACGAAGTAAGCAAAAAGCAGGACACAACCAACATTATACTCAAGACCGCGCTTTATAGTCTCTTGTCCCAAGAAGGTCTGTTGAGAATCAGAGGTACCTTTAAAAGCGACATACTATACAGTCTCACAACAAAGCACATGCTGGCAAGTGCAAGGAAACAAGAAGCAGAACACCTTGAATATAGTAACCCACAAACACTGACACCTGCACCTAAGGGCCCACATGCCTAATTCTTTAAGTCAGTTGAGAGGGTGGATGAGTAGGACAAAGCTTGACAAGCCCTTCCAGTTCTAACAAATGGAATACAATCAAAGCTAGCACTTTACAACAGTTTCCTCTTTCCTCTTTCTTGGGAGTGCCCAAAGACACATGTTCCAACCCTTAGTAGACAGCAAAAAAGTCCATCTTTCTAAAGGCCTTCAAAAACTTTATTTTTAAATATCTCCAGGGTAATAAATATTATTTGCTTGCATGCAGGTATTTATTAAAAAATACCCCTTGCAGTCAGTGTTCACTCCATGTATCCCCCACTTCAGCCAAGCAAGTTCTTGTTCCTCCAAAATACAGTGGCATTTACCTCACTGACCTTGGGACTGCCTTCCTCCAGTATTTCTCCCTCATCAGTTTGCATGGGAACAGGATCTGTGCAAAGCTCTGCAGAAATGCAAAATACTGCCTAAAAGATAAAAAAAGAAAGATATATTTTAAAAACAATGAATTGTTTCTGCCTTTAACAGTGCTATGTGAGATTGCAGTGCACATAAATAACAATTCTAGGCTGTGACCTTTAACATTCCCATTCTGCACATATTTGCTGAATTTATGTTTTACACAGAAAAATAAGACAACTGTTATTCAGGATAAGACATAATTCTACTTAATTAAGAGAAAAAAAGCACCTAACAGGAATATACTTCCTTTTTAATTTTAAAATATGTCATTGCTGACTGTTCAACATATTCATTGTGATTACCTATTAAAACTATAGTCAGTAAGGAATAATCACATGGACTGGAGCTGAGGAATTCTTACTTACTAGGAAATAGCTTTTGTGCAAACACAAGCTTCACAGATTCGGCTTACAGACAATTTAAAGATTATTAGTTTGAAAAATGATTAGACTTCCAGTTACCGCACAGTACCTCTGAATTCTTACTTTAGGGACTTTTTCCTTCATTTTAGAAACAAATACATTCTAGGCTCTAAATGGTTCAGGGAACTGATGAAATCATTCATCTTTAGGTTGCCATCTCCAATCCAACCCAAGTCAACAGCTCCCAGTGTTTCCAACATTCAACATTACTCAGTAACTTATTTTTAAGTTGTTTGACAGTGTCAGTGCAGTTCCAACTGAACAAAATCTACACCCCAAACTCCATTCTTAGAATTGTAAAGTAACTTATGGAAGAACGCAATGCCATTAGGGAGACTTTGGTTACAAAGATTAGAATGTCTTCTACTCCAGAGGATGAACCATCTTTCAGAGGTAATGGATCAAATTAATCAATTTAGGAGATTAAACACACCTGCATAAATTCAACAGGAATCTCTCACTCTCAAAATGCAAGATGTAAGCTATCAGCATATCTAGAACATTCCAGATATGTGGAAAGTAAGGGCTCACACAGAGTTAAAAACTCTCCTAAAGCCAAGAGCTGTTGGCCTTTTAACAGCTGTCCCTGAAGATGCTGCAACTCTTCAACTGCACCAGCATTTTAAATCCATTTAAACTCTCTCCACTTCATTTTTGCACCTCAGCTACAGAGTTGCTGCTGGCTCTATTGTCACCTTCACAGCAGCAATTCCAAGCCTGGATACTGACAACTTTGGGAGTGCAAATAGTAATGAGGTCAAAAAGAGAAAGCGTGGGAATTGTTCATCTAGATGGACCTCCTTCATTTCAAGGTTAAAGCTTGTTCATAAGGTAAGGCTGTCTGCACTGCCAACATCTCCTGTATGTTGTACATAGGTAGACAACATCTTTCATGGCTATTAAGTCAACACAAGGAATGAAGAATATGTTCTACAAACAAAGGGCCTGAAGCTACAAAATGTTACGTACAACTTATTAAATCTTATAACCAACAAGCTGTTATGTTCAATAATATCATACATGCTCACGCAAAGCATGAGAGCTGTAAAGACTTACAGCATAGTAATTTCCTTTTCTGGGAAAAGAGGAATGAGGATAAAGCAGAACTCTCACCCAAATCCTCACCAAATACTCTGCCTGCAGCATACCATCAAAAATCATAGGTATCAAATGCTAAGCAAGACTTGTATCACGCACCTATGCCAAGGTCTTCCTGCACATAACAAGTATTTCTGGCTGCTGGGCCATCTTCTGCTCTGCGGTGGGAGGGGGGAGGACAGGGCGAGCAGTCCCTGTCCATGGTACTTCACCACACGGAGTTTCTGAAACCCACCCCCGAGCTTCGCAGCACGATTTTGCAGTATCAGATCTGAGTAACTGGGAAGCTCCACAGACTGTTATACAGACAGTCTGATGTCTAACTGCCAAAACAGCTTTGGCCAGAAGGACTGCTGTGGCACCAAACTGACTTCAGATCAGAGAAACAAGCAAGACTGAATTTGAGCTACAGAAGCATTTAAAAAAAGCTTATAAAACAGAACAAGACCGGTCAGGTCAGGCCAAGACCACTGCAAGGACAGGTCACTGTTCATTCAGAGTGCTGGAAAAACTCAAATATGAACCTCTGAAAAACATCCATGCTTATCTTCTGAGGTATCCCTCACTACCAGAGGAATGGGAAGTGGCAATATTTGACACCAGTTTTTATCTATTACTCCTGGAAGAAGACAAAAAGCTACTAACCAGTGCATCTCAGACAAAAAAAGTCAGTAGAACTAGGAAATAATAAAAAAACCCACACCAAATGGAAAGGCCACAAGAACAAACATAAGCAAGCTCTCCCACAGAGGATAGATTAAATACGCTGGAGCTACCCATAGCTCAGAAATCAGAGTAGAAAATAGAAAATCAGGGAGAAATCTGTAAAAAAGAAAATGCAATGGAGAAGGAAAATAAAGTTTATTCACTCACTTTTCAATTGTCACGCAATTCATGTTTTATCAGCTTTAATGTTCAAAACATGTATCATTATTTCATACAACACTCGGAGTGAACTCACTCATATGGGACGGCGAGAAGGTAGAAGTTTTAAAAGGCTCTCTAATTTACTGGAAAAAGTCACAAGGGAAAAAGGAAATCCACCAAAAAAAAAAAAATCTTGCAGCTGATACAGGAAGACCCTAAGCCACAGACTGCAAGAGGTTGCAAGGGAAAGTTTTGCTGAACACTACCCTTCTATTGTATTTTTCCCCATTGCATTTGCTTCTGGCTTATCCAGGAGACAAAACATCAGGCAACAAGCTATGAGCCCAATTCAATGCTATCATTTTTATGTTTTTTCTCCATACATGAATCCTTGATTCCCATGGCCACTGGCACAAGAGTGCTGCATTTCAAGTTTATCTATTGCCAAAAGCAGGCCTTTGTGGATTCCTGAACCCATGGGAAACTACCTCTGTGGCAGACTTTTGTAGCAGTCATTTACAACTCAGGATGACTTCTCAGGCAAAGTGACTGCTTAGTGCCAGCATGCAAGGAAATAAAATAATTATTCCATGTTGTTTCACTAGCTTCTGAGCAGAGGGCTGAAGGTCACATATAGGGTAATTTATTTTATACAAAGAAGATAGACAGGCAATCAAATTTGTACTAGCACATTACAGGATTGGAAAAAAGTTCAAATGCCAAAAGGCAGTTATTTACTTATTTCCAATATTTATGTGATATGCCAGGTTCCCAGGGTATAAAAATACACAAAGTTTATAGACAGTCTATTTAGATTTTCAGGTCCAATATCTGTCAACAAAGTCACTCTTGGAAAAGATCAAAAATAAGATGATTCCCTTCTTCCATTCTTGCATATACCCAGCAAAACCACTTCAGATGTGACTGAAATCCCCCAATTTTTTTTTTCCACCTAGTATCTTCTAGAAAAATTAACCAACTTCAGCCTGAGTGAGGACTCCCAAGGAAGGTCTGACAAATAGCAAGGCACAGGTGTGTCCACATATGATGTAGCAGATGCATGTCTGAAGGTAGGAACAATTTTTATTTAACTATTTAAAATATCTGATGCTAATTTATTCTCAAAGATAAAAAGACTTGTTAATATTGACTGGCTGCTGTTCTTACAAACTTTAATGCCTATTGCAATATCGTCCTGTCATAAAACAATACAGCTTTGGGACAATCCAGTTTGATACACAGTCCTGTTTACGTTCTGTCTCTTTCTGCAGCAAAGATGTACACATTTCACTTAGTAGTATCAGTATGATGGATGCAGCTACCAGTCATAAATTCAGTGTAAGCAGAACAGTGCAGAGCACCTTATGGATACTATCACTTCACTACTGCATTCTAAAACCTGAGCCAAATTTCCATATGCTTAGAAAGCTCTGAAAATCAATACCAGTGAACAAGGCACCTCCCCAGGCCTCATTTTCCTGCAGATATAAAGGCCCACCATTTAGAAATACAAGGTCCTCATTAGCAAGAGAGAGCTGGAATCCAAATGTCTTCAAATTTGCTGTTCATCAAACAGGCATCACTGGAACCAAGCACCTTATCTAACACACGGGCCTTTGATACAGCAACACTTCTTTTTCAGATTGCCAGCAGTAATCAAATATGGACTAAAGAGGAAAACTGTTCTTCCTTTGATACAGAAGAAAAAATTATTTCAAGCTTCTGAAGAGTGCAGCTGCAAGAGAAGCACTTGTTAATGTAAAACCAGTTGTGGTTCCTGTGAATTCCAAAGACTAAATCGGATATGGCCCACTGCAAAACCTGTGAAGGACAGTAAACTGTCACCATTACAGACAGTGAGCAGAAATTAGATAGGTCCCAAATGCTCTCACAAGAGCACAAAGCAAAACAGGCACACAACTGCTCTTCAAAGATGGTGATCTTGTACACATGGCATACTTGAAAAAAAGTGGTTAGAACAAGGCAGTACTGTACTGAACCATGTCTTAAATGAGACTGTGCGTATCTGACACAACTGTATTGATATGATTGCAATCATTAGTCTCTATCTAGGTACAGTGTTAAAAGTGTTAATTTTTAACAGATGGTCTAGCCATATTATATCTAATTGCTACAGCTTTACATTACATCGACTTTGTTAAGAATGTACAAAAGCAAAATAAAATTTAACATATGGAAAAAGAACAGAATATTTTTTGTCACTTTAAATGTGAGTTGAGAGGTACTGAGATGAAAGCAAAAGCATCCAGAAGATAAACAGAACTTGAATGTAACTTCATTACTTGTAGGAACCAATGACTAACCGATTCCAGTGACTTTAAAATCTCATCATAAATTAATCAATTTTCAAAGAAAACCACCATATGCATCAACTTTAGCTGACAAAACCAGATCGCATCAGGCAGTTACAGAAAAAAACTTCACACCCAAACCCACAGGAAATAACACACTAGAAAGTATATGAAAACAGCAATACATCCTAGTTGGTAAGAACTAGTATAGGCTAACGTTCTTCTCACGTCCAACATTCAAGAATGCAATACTGAACTTTGGTTGATTTTTACCTTTGACAGTTTCCAAGGGCTGCCAAAGCCCACAAGGATCCGTCCTGGCTACATTCAGTGCAAAAATGAAACCTTAAAAGGAGACAAAAAAAAAATTTAAAAGGTCAGCCAACTGTGGGTATTACTAGATAAAAACCATATAAAACCAGAAGTCAATTGTCTCCAAATCTCAGCAACCCTTACTCCCAAAACTTTAGGAAAAGCCATATTCATTTTAATAAAAATCATGCAAGGTAAACAAAAAACTGCAATCACAAAAGAAGCAATACAGCTCCCTCTCCTTCCACCCCCCCTCCCACCCACCCCCCCATTTATGCAGTACTGGGGAGATGGGGGAAAAGAGCTACAGTTAGGGTTAGAGTTAAGGAGAGAAGCACCTCTCTTCTCACTGTTCTTCCACTTCAACTGACACCCTAGTCTAGGATATTATTCTTCAAAGGCGAGAAACTTACATATCACAAAAAGCATTTACTTGCTGAGCCTTAGGCTCAAATTTAGGCTTTTACAGAATAAAGTTGCACCACTGCTGGAAATGCATCTTTAACTACCTCAGAGAAAATGTTAAAAACATAATGGTGTTTATTGCTTACGCATATTACCCGTCACCACACAACTTAAACCAACAAATCAGTTTTGAGAAAAAAAAAAAATAAGAATCCTTATACTGTGACCCACCAAACCATTTAAGAGGTACCTTATACCTGTATCTATAGTATTTAGCCTGCTGGCTGATTAACTTCTCTGAATCTTCAGTGAACACTATAGATTACAAGCATGACACTGAATTCTAACAATGCACCTTGCAAAATGCTGCGTAACAGAAACCTCAAACTGATATTGAACAGGAAATTCCCTTTCCAAGTATTTACCGTCAGTGTCACTACCAGAGTTTCTGCAAACTTTGCCACTTGAACCACTTGGAAAAAAAAGGGCTAACATTTCCTCAAAGGTACGATGGTAATACCTCCTAAAATGACTGCCATCATTTAAACTAGGAATTGCAAGTTTCATACGTGATGAAAATGTTAGTTGTTTGGCAGCAGGTTACAATTTTCTCATTATTAATCATCATATTATCCTTTTCACAATAGTTTTTAATTGTTCACTTACTATGTATAGGTACAAAACTGAAATGTTCAGTTTTCATCCAGAAATGAACATGCAGTCAAAGTACTATCAAAGAAGATGTGCAACATGCTCAGTCTTCTCAGTCACCCTGAAGTAGTTTTCCAAGTGAAAAATCTACATTAAGTACATCATCACCTTAATATTATGATGTCCCAAAAGTATTAGCAACGTTAGAGTCCACGCCCAAATTGAGAATGTTTTTATCAGGCAAGGCATTTTAAATCATTGTTAGAAACCAAGGTTCTGGAGACAGAAGTCTTAATAAAACTCAAACTCTTGATTACTTTTACAGTAAGTGAATGCATAGTCTGAAATGAGTAAGAAGCCGTAACATTCACCACTTTGTAATATTTCCTCCATTGCAAAAATAAGCACTGCTTTCATCTTAGTGAACTAAGTAAAGCAAGCTGCATTTACCTGGCTTCACTAGACAGTAGCAGATTAAGGAAATACTTCTACTACTGAAATATGTTGAAAATAATGTATGGATGTAAGAGCAACCCACTCTGTTGTCTGCAATTGTTAAATTTTCTCTATTAATTTCCAAAACTGCAGAAAAAAAATGAAAAATTGATTCCTCCCAAAGATGTCTCAGAAATATTCAGCCATGCCATTTAATACACTATTACTAATCTATGTGGTCAAGTACACATAGGTGGAGTCAAAGGCTGTTGTTGACTGCAGCAGTTTTATCATGCATTTCTGACACACACCTCCATCCAGTGAGAGTATCAGCCAAAAAGCAAGAGAATGAAGCACCTGTGCAGTTTTTGACAGCATAGGATCTGAAGTTGGAGAATAAGAAACATTGCAGAAGCTGGCCAAAAACCCAGCTTTTCCCAGAAAGGGGTTGTTGCAGGCTGGATACTGAAATAGCATAGTGTTAGTATCTAGGAAAAGTGTTCAAAGTTCCAGCCAAACCACCACATGCTTATAGACCACTAATGTCTCCACGGGAAAAAGAGAGAACTGCTACTAATTACGCCAATAATCTGTCTTATCTCATTACAGAATCTTATTCATGAAGAGGAGTATGGATTCCTATCTCTAATTGAAAAAAGCCTCTCGTCAGTATCTAACTTTTAATAGATGTAAGACAAGAAAAGACTGATGATCATCCTCCTCCCGTTACTGACAAATTTAGGCCCATGTTTCTAGAGCAGTAACAATGTTAATTAGCAAAGTGGCACAAGAGAGCAGAATCCAGTGAAAACAGTTTGGGTTAAAGACAGAACACAATATATAGCTAAGTAGGACTGCAAAGATGTTACAGCAAGAAGAATCTCAAGGTCTACCAGAGTCAGGATAGAATTTAAATGTCACACATACATCTCCTCCTAATTCAAAACTTCAGAGTAAGTATCTACTTCTGCCGACAGCCAGGGCTTTAAGGATGCATCAAGCCCGCTTGCCTAGACTGCATAGAAAAAGTTGACCTAGGAAAACAGTTTGATTGGGTATCCAGAGGGGAGATAAAAAGGAAAAACAAAGAAACAAAAAACCCACCCACAATTTATGCACCATTCCTCTGACAGAACAAAGGCGGGGGGGAACCTCTCCCTTCCCTCCAAGAACTGTGACAGCTCATAAGGAAGTATTAATCAGCTAACTACAACACTTACTTATTAATTCAGGGACCCAGGCACACTGAAAGATCAGACTCAGTCTCTATTATCTTGCCACAGCAGAAACAACTCATAATACCTACATACTCCTGGCTTACATACATTAGGTCCTGCCCTGACAGACTAGAACTGTATGCACATACAGTGCAACCCCCCAAATATTCTGTATGCATTTCAAGTTCCAATATAGTCAAGTGTGGCAATTTACTTAGCTGGCTTAGGGAATCGATGAAGCAGCAGAATATCCTGTACAGTCAGGACTCCTAAACTAGCTTTTTTCCTCAAGTATTTTTTAGGGTGCTGCATGTCTTCCCACATTGTGTGCACAAAGTTCTTCACTTACATCAAACACCTCCTTTCTGGTCACCTCACCTAAGTCGCCTCTGTATGAGCACCAAAATATTCCAGGTGGACAGAACTGAAAGGAACAGGCTGCCATCAGGAAAATGTTTTCTTCAAATTCTCCTTCCCCCTGCCCCTCCAACCTCCCATCCAAATCTGGAGAAACAGTCAACACTGGTAGCACGCGTGACAGAATTTCCTACTGACTATGAGATACGACAGAACAGTAGGAAGCTCTAAAAATATAATTTCTATTCACAACCGGGAAAAAACATGGGGTGAAACTGGGTTTTTTTGTATAAGAACTGGGAGAACATGCACAAGTGTGTTCAAAGAAAGTGACTATGTAATCCTACAATAACTCATTAATATTAAACATTACGTGTAAAAATGAGTCCCATTACCTACGAATTTTTGGGTATTTAATCCCATTTTGAAAGAATAACATATCAGCAGCACTGAACTGGCTAACACTCAAGTCCATTTCAAATCATTCAGAATCCACCATGCTGTCTTAACCACAGCTAGAATTAAATACTTCAATTTTGGTTTTGCAAAACATAACCAACTTCCAGGAATGAAAAGAGGTCCAGAACTACTGGTTTACCACTATACATCCAAGTTAACATCACTAAAATCTAAGTTATTCCAGTTGCCATTATTCAGGCACCATAAAAGAAAGGTTTGTTGTGAAGGTAACCTACAGGTGACACCTTTCTAAATTCATTGCATCATCTTGTTGGCTACTGCTCATGCTTAATGTACTACAACATTATCTAGTGACAAACTGTTGCTGTCACTGGACTAGCTGCCATAAACTGAATATTTTTTTCCTGAGCTTCTACCATTAACTAAGAGCTTTCTGGGAATGTTTTCCATTCAAACAGTACATTTGGAGACAAAAGGGGGTCTTTGCCACTGCGGTTTACCCGTCCCTTTGCTAAGTGGGTGTTTGACAGCAGCAAATCTTAATTTTAACCTTAGTTGTGACTTATGTTGTGGAATGATTCTGATAAAGCAACCAAGAGCATGCTCTCTGCTTAAAAGGCCTCAAGCTGTCTAAAAACATCACCTCACAGAAAACAGCTGCTGACATAATTACACAAAGACATCACATACCCAACTAAGATACTGGGAAGTTGGCTTAAAGTCATTCACAACTTCAAAACAATACAGAAATGTTTTTTTTCATCTACAGCACACTGGCAATGTAACAGTCATGATTTACTATAAAAATTATCCAGGATAATCCAGGTCTCACTGTGGTAGATTCTTCTCCGCTTTTTAGGACTGAAGAGGGAAATGTAACTTGGAATCAATTAGAAACAACTTGGTAGGAAAAGGAGAGATGCTACTGGTGCTTGAGAGAGGATTTACAACCTCTTTCACATTGTTTAGGATGATCTCTTTGCATTAGTTAGGTGGAAGGAAATCCAGGAAGGATTAGCACTTCAAGGAAAAATGAACTAAAGATATGACTAAACAAAGCAGCCAGCCGGGAGAAATGGGAGAAGGCTGAAATCCTCAGACTCTTATTAGAAAAAATAAATAAATAAATAAAAAATCTCCAGAGAACAGCATTCAGCAGTGACAGCCGAGTACTCCACAAAATCACCATGGTGTTTTACAGCAAAACATGACACGGGATAAAACGTCCATTATGTTTAATTCAATGTTGGGTGCACAACTTCATATTTTGTTCAATATTAACTTCTCCTCACTGATGTTTTTTGTACTATATGGAAAATGGTTCAGCTGTTAATGTAGATACGACACAGCTTCTTTCAACAATAAGATAAATAACTAACTTGGAATAGATATCATGTACATTAGCCTGTACTGCTCTTCTAAGGGAACATGAGAATAGAAGGATCATACAGAAGTTACGTCATTAACCTATACATGCAAAACACAAACCCCAATTCATAGAACTCAGGTCTTTTCACATCAAGAGCCCAAATATAAATTAGCAAACCACTTTCATAAAATAGAACACTCCTGAAGATGTCAGGTTTTTTTGCTAAATGGACAATTACACAACATGATCTCCTCAAGAAAACCCAATATTAGAGTTTGGGGGTTTTTTTCCCCGTTGAAGAACATCTCCCTTTTTGACTCAATGTTAAGAAGGACACAAGAAACAAGTGCAAAAGGATACTTCTCAAATCACATTTATGGGGCTTTTTCTAAGCAAATTTCTTAATTCATGTCTACATAACCTTTAAAAAAAGCAAAAATTTTATTCACTTAATCACCTGATCAAGGGTAAGGGAAGGCAGCCCTGGACTGCACAAAAATGATCCTAAGTCAAACTTTCTATTTAGAAAATCCTGTTTCTAGCTCTTGAATCTGAAGAAAGCCTTGAAACATGAGCTAAAACAGAACAGTGCATCGCCACCTTCCCATCATTCCAAAATATTTACATAAACAACATTTAAGGTGTTAAATGTTCCTCCTCCCACTAAAGGAAAAATAAATTGAAAAGCATGTTTTTAAAAACGTTTTGCTTACGCCTTTTTTTCTACTTTCTACAGCACAAAGCAGCATAAAAATTCCCTTCTTTCCTGCTCATACTGATTTCGCTGAAGAATCTGTTAAAGGTTACAGTGAACATAAAAGGCATTTGTCTCTACTTTGCCTCAGCTGCCTATCATACGCTACACATCGCTTCTCAACTGTAATCAAGGTTACATCCCAACTGTAATCAGCCCAAGGCTGCCAACTGCTTATGTTTTCCAAAGCCCTTTGTCCCACTCTATCTTTTCAGCGTTGCTGAAGCATATCTATACACACACGTCTACATACATAGACACATATATGTGTATGTATATGTAAGAAACATCCTCAAAACTACTTCTATTTTTTCCTCTTCAAGTCCTTGACCACTCTGCCACAATGTTTATGGAAGCTATCGAAACTGAGGTTGTTGGGAGTACTCTCTATCTTAAGTGACCAACAGCATCTTCTTGACAGCAGCATAGTAAGAGTTTTGGTAATGACTGGAGCACCTAGGAATTAAAACATGAGGAGCTGAGAATACTGGCTACTTTTTCCACTCTACATCAAAGTTTTACCCAGCCAACATAATTAAAGAATTTTTTTACCAAAGTTGGAAACAAACTATCACTATTAAAAACTCATTCTTTTCAATTGTTCATCTTCTGTTCTCTTAGGTCTTGCAAACTAATGCTTTTCAGGCACAAAAAAGGGGCTATTTCACACTGCTAATACTGCTTCTAGTTGATAATGGTAGCAATGCTCAGAATCCTAATGGCACACAAGCAGTCATTACCATGACTATTACAACTATCATGTAATTTAATGGTGCCCCGGTGGAAAAAAATGGGGATGCAGTCAACATGCTCGAAGTGCCAGCAATCCATGTATGCCAGCATTCCCAATGATTTGGCACTGCTAGAGCAAAACCAGTACAAGAGTAGCAAGCCCTTATTTCAGGACATTTGCAAAATGACAGAAAGTCTTCAGAATACAGAGGACTTGAGTTTCCTGGGGGAGAGGTGAAGAGGAGGGGGAATGTTATACTAGACCAGAGGCTTCCAACAGTTTTTTCCATCTTAAGCAAAACGTTACAATGATGGAGAAGCCTGCTTCTCAACAGCTCAACTTTAAACCTGAAAGCTATAAATAACTCCTTTACTGCTGATAATCCCAACAGAATCATCCCATCCGACTGTTCATACCACGAAAGACAATTCAGGATCGATGGTTTCCTTTTGAGCCACCAGTAACAGTCATGGAGTTCTATATAACAGTATGTTTATCCAGCGGTAGTAACCAAATTAAAACTGATAAAGTAGT